AAGTGCTCTTCAGTGTTCTCTATTAGTGCTCTCTCTCAAGAGCTTGGCAGTGACAGCCTAGAAGCCCCCCTGCTTGGATCCCTACATTCCTCTGGACCTTCCTTCCAGCAAGTGGGACCTCCTCCTCAGTTTTAGCCCAGGAGGATTTCTTGGGCCAAATCGCAACTTTGATTCCATACTCTGAACGCATAAGCATGCTTCAACAGCTTCCCCTGCAGAATCATTATCTGACCTGCCTGCAGCTTTAGTGGCCCTTGAGCCTTCAACTGCAGTGGCTCTATCTGATGAAGAATCTCAAAAATCTTTGCCGGATGGTGTTGTCCCTGAGAAGTCGCAGACCATTTCAACTCTCATTGATGCAGTGTGCCAATTTAAAAGTAGAGGAGTAGCTTGTAGTTTCAGCAAGCGCAGCTACCTGTCTCGAATCCCTAAGAGGCCCCAAGGCAACTAAAACTTTTCCCATACATATTGTATTCCCAGACGTCTTGAATGCAGACTGGGAAACTCCTGATAAACTGTTTACACCTCCCAAACGTTTTGCAATCCAATACCCTTGAAAAGCTCCAGTTATAGCTTGATCCTTCAGAAGTTTACAATGAAACTAACTCTTCCACAAGGAAAACTTCATACTCTCTGCTTCCAGACTCGGACGGTTTAGTCCAAGGGTCAACTGACTCTTCATTTTTTCATGCGAGTTCGGGGGTTCATGGTAGCCTCCTTTCAAGGCAGTCCCAGTTCTACTCCAGACCTCTACAATTCAACATCCTATCACTGTTGGACAATTCTGTTCTGTCTCTGGACAAACTAGTTTGTTTGTAACCAAGGACCAGATTTTCTCTGGCCTGGTGCCTCAGAAACCCAGCTCCAGAGTGTAGGAAATCCTTCTGATATCTTGGCGGAACCTCACAAAAGATGCCAACCAGGCAGGCTGGGATGGGGTCCTAGACACTTTGCCGTTGTAGAGCCATAGACAGCAGAGGAATCCTATCTCCTGATTAACATTCTGGAGCTTCAGGTGGTTTGGTGTCCCTACAATGCTAAACAACCCAACTGGAGGGTCATCCAATCAAGATCCAGTTGGACAATAACCCGACAGTAGCGCACATCGACCATCAGTACAGAACCAGACGTCTTGCCATGGGCAAGAAAGGTAGAAAGGATTCTATTCTTGGCAGCCTTGTTTTGTCATTTACATTCCAGTTGTGGGCAATTGGCAGGCACATTTTCTGAGCTGGCAGTGCCTGGATCCAGGAGAATAGTTCCCATACCCAGAAGTGTTCCAGAACCTGTGTCACAGGTAGTGGATGCCAGGTGCGGACCTTCTGGCCTCCAGGTTTAACAACAAACTGGACAGGTTTGTCTGCAGGTATAAGGATCTTCTGGTGGAAGCAGTGGATGCTCTGGTGGCTCAGTGGGATCGGTACAGCCTAATCTATGCCTTTCCTTCCCTGAAACACCTTCTGCGTCTGCTCGGCAGGATTCAGAAGAAGGGCATTGTGGAAATTCTCATTGTTCTGGATTGGTGCAGGCGAACATGGTAAGCCCATATGGTAAGTCTTCTGGCAAATGCACCATGGCCCTTCTAGACTGTTTGGATTTACTGTCACACAGGGCTTGGCGAACAAATTGCCTGGGAGCTAAGTGGCGTAAAAAATTTGGATTTGAACTGTTTGGGATATATTGAGTGCTTGATTTTTTGAATACTTGTTGTCTCCCTTCCTTTTTAGACCCTTTTTTAGTATTTAAAAACTCTTTTTCCTTTTCTGTCAGTTTTTTTAAACTGTTCCCTTTTTTTTTTACCGTTACAAAAACTAGAGGCCATCACCTAAAATTGATGGAAAAAAAATTCCAGCACAAGGGGCGAAGGGGGTTCTTCACAGTAAGATCAGTTAGGGTCTGGAACTCACTGCCACAGGCGGTGATTTCAGCAAATAATGTGGAATTGTTCAAGAAACTTTTGGACGATTTCTTAAGGGACCATAATATACAGGGGTACGGGTACTCCTAGAATGAGATCCTAATAGGTTGGACTTGATGGACTAATGTCTTTATTCAACCTCAAATACTATGTAACTATGTAACTATGTCCCAAGGACTGATATACCATCCTTCTTCACAGTCGCTTTAATGGCATGACTGTTAAATCCCATGCCATTAGTCTGCTTCCTGCAAGGTTGATTATCACACGTTAGACATACTTCGCTCTGTGCATGGAAAGAATCTTTCATCCCAGGAAATATTCTGTGAGATTAATGCTGACCTTTTGTAATTAGGCCTGAGTACCATCAAGGGGCCATTTTGCCTTAAGTACAAATCTCATCGATTTTAATTTAGTTCCAAAGACCACTTGCCTCCCATTCTATGATTAGGACCTTTGTACAGTGTGTCCCTCATGTGGCTTCCCCTGTGCAGTTACGCGTCACTCTTTGGGATTTGAATTTGGTTCTCTCGGCTCTTCATATCCATATCAGGGATATTCCACTTTACATGTTGCTTCCACCTCTGCAAGGCATGTTTCAAATTTTTTCCTTTTTGGCTCTACATAAGGACAAGGTGGTGTTGCCCTCTTGCCGAAGCCTCCTACCCTCCCAAGGTCGAGAAAGTATTGATAAATGAGTCTTTTTCACATTGGTCTAAGGTCAAGAGTCGCGTGCCTTAGGAATCTGTACTAGGCCCAATACTATTTAGCCTGCTTATTAATGATATTGGGGAGGATGTTAATAGCCATGTTGCTGGGTTTGCAGATGATACTAAAATTGTGAGGGTAATAGACACGGACTTAGATATTACAAGTTAATAATCATTACTTTTATTGCAAAATCTGTGTCCTGCGATCCTGTTGGATTTCCTTAGCATCACAGTTGGTACTGGGGACGTTTCCTTTTCTTACTGGGTTGATTCTGGCCTGGTTATGCTGAGCTTGTCCCCAGTTGTAGGCAGGAACCTCTCTGGTGCCAATGCCTTCTGATGGGAATGTGGCTGCACTTGTCTGGCTGGAGGGTTGGAAGAGAAGAGGCCCGCGGTGCTGTGCCATCTGGGATGGTGTTGCAGGGGTGCCGAAAATCACTATGGGTTTGGGACCCACTATGATTCACTAGTCACGGCACCGTAAGCTTTTATCTGCACCGCACTTCTTAGGCAGGCCTTTTGGTTAGCCCAGAGCAATTTTTATCTCGGTCAAATGGCCTGCCAGGTTTGTGCACTGGCACCTTTTAATTTATTTTCATGCTGTTTTTATGCATGACTGCATGTTTTGACCCCACAGAAGGCTGGAGGGTGAGGGTACCTTCGGGGCCCGACCTGATGTTTTGGGAGAAGGTTCTGTGGCCTCTATGGGTTTTCTTTACCTCCCTCCACGTAGGGCCGTCACATACCGCAGGACAGAGCCCCTTGCGCCAGGTCTGGATCCCAGTAGCAGGAAGCAGGTGAGATAACCAGTCCAAATACAAAGTCCAGAGGGGTGAGACAAGCCGTAGTAATGGAGTTCCGTGTTCAGGCCAGGCAGCGTAGAACCAGTAGTCCAGAAAACAGTCCGAGGCTCAAGTAGCCGGTAGTCTAAAACTGGGGGTAGGAATGCAGGAACAGGGGGCGAAGATACAGGAACAAACGCTGGGTCTCTGTGAGCAGGGCTTTAGATTAACCTAGCACTGAGCTAGTAGTGTTGTGAGGTTTTAAAGCCCAGGACTGGAGGCAACACCCCTGTTCCTGTGGAAACAGAGGTGGAGTTAGGGCGGTGCTTAGTGTATTGCTGAAAGGCTTGTGTTCCTTGGGAGGAAGTGAGTTTTTGCATGTTGTCAGTTGCTGTGCATGCTGGATCTCTATAGGGGCTTATAGATGTCACACCAGGATTCCCCGCATGTGACACCACCAAGGGAGATGGCCCCGACGCCGTGACTAGCGCAGCTCCTGAAACGCACGCACGACGATGCACAGAACCATGCTTCTGAGGCACAGCCACAGGAGAGAAACGCTGGGAACGTGCCTGTGGTCCCAGGAGATCTGGAGAGGGGTGTCTCCACACACTGTGGCTGCCAGGTGAGGGACGCCTCCGTGCACCATGACAAGGGGTCCATCTCCGGGACAGCTCCTATGTAGTACTTGGAGGACCTACTTCAGTAGCTCCCTAAAGATCGAGGTCTGGCAGGGTGGACCTAGGTTCCCTGCCCCTGTCAGGAGCCTTGTGCCCTGGGGGGTTCAGGGATTTGTGGCCCTTCCTTTTCAGAGGAGGATCAAAAGCACCCTTGTGTGTTGTGATTTCATGATTCACTTTTTTCGTTCACGGGGATGAAGTTGTCTTTGTTGCATGCATCGCAGACCTTTAAAAAGAAGTCTTAAATTCAGGGAGAAATTGGTGAGCAATTAGCAAAAGAAAATCAGTAGTTTTGGTGTCTTCTAAAATATTTACACCTTCAGAGAGGGAGCCCCAGATTCTCAACACTGCTCTGTGACTAAATAACTATTTGACATGACTGTGCCCAAAGGGTAAGAAGGAATTAAACTGTTTCAGACATTGACACATCTGACAAAAATGTTATGTTGTTTATTTAGTTGCTTACCGCATGACAAAAAACATTCTTTGTAGGTAATTTTCTCTTTAATGAAAGGTACAATTCTGTAGTCATAATGGAAAGTAATTATGTATTCATGTAAATGTATCCATGAATTTCAAGTTCCTGCCAAACTTTGCAAAGCTTTCTTTTAAAGGGTGACATTAAATGTAGGTGCCATGCACTCTAAGGTGAATAAACAACACACAAGTGAAAACAAATCATAATGTCTATCCTGTTTCATAAATTACTTTCTTTTTTTTTGTCGCAGCTAATTCCTAAGTTTTCTTATAGCCTCTACTACACAGTGGCAAATCAAAAAATGACACAAGCAAATTTTATGATGAAATATCCTTTTGTTTATAGTTTTGCAAGGCATACAACTCACAATTAAGTTTGCATATGAATCTGCGTGATGTAATTTGTTTATAAAAAATATCAAACACATTTTTTTGTTTTAAAAGTGTTACATATAAAGAAAAGAAGAAAAGAACAATAAATGAACAAAACACAGACTTTTATCAAATTAAACCACACAAAAAGGCTTTGGCAAAATGACAAAAGTGGTATACTCATGTAAATATGTTGTCAGATTTGATATTCCATCAAGTGCATGTGCTTGCACAAACGTGGCTTTATCAAAAAGTTCAACACTCGTGAAATGTCCAATAACAGCATTTGTCATAACAACAACAACAACAACAACAACAATGTGTTTTAGAATTAAAATAAATATTGCCAATGTCTCAGTAGTAACAAACCAACTTTGAGGTTGACATTTTTAAATCTCTGGAGGCAATGAGCTGTTATATGTCTCTGGTTGGAAGCAAATACTATGGGATGTACTAGATAAACTGTAGGCAAAATAAGCCACAGCTGACCCAAGCATTAGTCCAGTCATGTACGAAACAGTCATGGTGTTTCCTGCAGAATAAAAGAGAAAACAAATAACTAAAAGCAAACAAACCGAGACCACAGTGCGGCTGTAAAATAAAAACAGACCAAAGTTCACCCATAGTGCACAGATTCTTGTATGCATGCTATTGATTTTAGGACAAAGTGTTCGGCCCCGTTCACACCAGAGCGGTTGCGGATCAGCGCGGTTTCCGTGTGGATTTTAAAAGGGCGGTTTTGGGGGTTTTAAATGCGTTTCAGCGCTGAAACACAATTAAAAACGCGGTTCCATTGAAAGCTGTATGGAAACCGCACTAATCAACACGGCAAAAAAGGGTCAGGGAGGAATTCGAGCAGGAGGCGGTTCGGATCGCACAGAGCAAATCCGCACGGCCGAACCGCCCTGGTGTGAACGGGGCCTTAAAGAGCAAGCAAAGCCCTGATATGGCATTAGTAGTAAATGGCTAAAAACATTGTTTAGAACTTTTAAAGCCATCTATGCCTTCCTGTCCCAGCGTCAACCGGACCCTCTATTTCTTGTACAAGCAACACAAGGATGGGAAGTCAGAGAAAATCTCTCCAGCTGGGTTACTGACAGAAATAAGAAGCTGACAAAAGTTATTCTTCCCTACTGTCCCCAAAACTAACAAAAATTTGGACTGAAGTTAGGCTTTACATAAACTTCTTAATTACTGCCATCTCTGGGGAGGAAAGCTCTTGTGTCGTGTCGTTTCCAAGATATGCTGGTACTGAGAGGTGTCTGCCATCCCTTCCCCCTCTCTGCTAAACCTGCATGTTTGGTCAACTGGAGAATGCACAAAACTATAGACCAATCCTGACGGATGTTTAGTGCCTGCATGTGTGTCTGTCATCTGAAGTTTACCTTTCTTTGCACTGTAAAGATGGAAACATTCTTTTTTATTTGGATACAAAATGTAAAGTGTATGGATAGCCAAAACTGTTTGTTTTACTTTTGAATATAGTAGGGAAGGATAAGAACCTCAGTAAAGTTTTTAACATTTTTAAAAACAAATGTTTAAGTGATGGAATATCCAATATTTTACAGTTGTCACCAGAACAGGAGGTGAAGGGAAATCTTCCAATTGGACACCAATTTAAGATGGAAATTCACCTCACTTTTTCCTCTTACTTCCTGTTGTGTTTCCTGGACATGATGTAAACGGAAACCTCCTCAATTGGAAATAAACAGCAAAACTGAAATATACTGTACTTATCTGTGCATACTGTGTACTATACTCATCAAAAAGAGCAAGATTAGTTGGTTGCAAAAATTTCAATCAAGAGTCAAGACTTGGCAGAACCATTGAACAATGTCTGCCCATTCCTTATGACAATATTTCTCTAGCTCTGTCAGAATGGATGAAGACCATTGCTGAACAGCTATTTTCAAATCTTGCCACATACTGAGGTTTGAGCTAAAATGTGCCATTCTAAAGAAGTTTCTAGGAAGTTTTAAGCTACTCCAATGTAGCTTGGGGTGTGCATGATGGGTCACTGCGAGGTGAAAGGTGAGCATTCATCCCAGATTCAAATTGCTAACCACGGAGACTGCCAGGCTGCATTTTATTTTAACTTGCCAGCAAATCTGACACTCTGAAACTGAGATGAAACACCCGTGCTGTTCTGTAACAGTACGTTACAGCCACACCTTGCCACTCTGCCAGAACACTAGTCAAACCGCCAATGAAGGACATTGCAAGCCACTCTATCATATTGCATTTTGTAGTAATTGCCAGCAATGCTAACCATTTTTTGTAAACAAATGTGTTCTGTGGTGAAGGGTTCTGTATTCACAAACACCTAACAAATAGTTGAGCATCAAGCATCTATTTTGCACCTTATAAGCCCAACCTTAACTTCCAACACAGCAAGACCTTGCATCAAAAAAACAAATATTACTGCAATTACTGAACATGCACTTACTGCATCACATCCTATTGCACGCATGTACAATTATAAACATTTGTGCATAACAGAAATATTTCTACATACATAAGTTTCTATTGATAGAGACTGGTTAATTTAGTTTTAACCAGAATCTCTAAGGCTGGATTAACACATTTGTACTGTGGGAATGCATGCATCAACGCAACACACATAAACACACATGTTGTGCATTGCCCACCTTGCTAACACACATGTGTTTTAGTGCATAGTAACACACTACCCTGTGTTGTAATGCACTGCCTTCCAAAAAAAAGTACATGCACCGTTTTGGTGCATTTTAGTGTGTTATGGAAAGCATTCACATAAATGAGCTGCCCTAACACAACACACGTCAATGCGTATAGTAATGCACCTCAGTGCGCTTTGTGTTATCACACCACAAAAGTAACTAATTTTAATGTTGACGTTAACTTGTATTAATAAACTCCACAAGTCTTTGCATGAATATTAAAGCAGAACTACAGGCAGATATAAGACACAAATTAATACAGCTCTATATTGATTGATAAATCATTAAATATATTGTTTTGAATGCAACCAATGTAAGTACCTGAGATTGACCTGGTATCAGCTTCTTGCAATACCCTTTATAGCAGCATTTAGACTAGGAGAGAGGGGGGCAAAACTGGGAGCTAATAGGTTGAGCCACATATAAATGTGCTGACAAGGAACAAACTGACAGGAGGAGGGAACAGAAGGATGACCTCATCAACCTGCTGTTGCTCCTTCACAGTCCAATTAGCAGTATCCATGTATATAACAGGAAAATTGTATTTCATACTTACCGTAATTTTCCTTTATAGTATCGGTACAGGTACTCGTACCTGTACCGAGTACTGTACTTGTTATCTGTGCAACCCTAATATATATCACAATTTAGTGTGCATCTACACTTTCAATAGGGCAGCATCCTAATATCTATAGGTTAAATAAAACAATTCCATACCTGCCAGTTCTCTTTGTTCTGGCACTACTTGTCCTGATGCCAGAATCATAGGTACACTGCCAAAATACCCATTGGTGATTCCCATGAGCAGAGAAAAGATGCATGGCCAGGCAGGGTGACTAAACGTTGGCTTCCCACTTGGGTAGACACACATTATAAAAAGTGGAATAAATATAGCACGAGTGCTAGAACAGATGAGGAGATTAACACCGCTCCAGTTGTATGGCACAGCCGCCAGTATCTAGAACAAAGGGAGAGGTATTGAATAAATAGCATTTATTTCTTAACATTACATCCTGTAATTTGGGTAATGATAGATGGTATCTACACTGTTAAATACTGTAGATGTACTTAAAAACATTGCATACCAAGTTAACTTAATAAGGTTATTGTGATTGATGCGGTAAACACTCTGGCACTCTTTTTTCTTTCCTCTGAATGTTTGGAATTAAAGGTTATACCTTACCTTTTACTGGCAAATACAAAATAAATGCACAAATTACATTTAGGCCATAGTCCAGAACAGCGTTTCTCCACCTTTTTTCTCAGTCATTGCACCCTTTAAAGTATAAAAAATCTCAAATCACCCCAGTCTAAAAATGTCATAGATTTTAAGGGGAACCCCTCATAAAAACAAAAAAGTGGGTAAGTGGGTTTCCCCCTTTACATCGAAGTGCCCATGTCAAATCAAGATCACCCCCCCGCCCCCTACACACACACACACATCAGTGTCACCAATTGCATCAGTAAGGCTTCTAATTAGGAGCCCCTCTTTCATATCAGAAGACCCACTATCATATCAGAGTCCTCGCCTTTCACAACAGAGCTCCTTCCTTACATCAGGAGCCCCCTTCACCTCAGTCTTCATTCTCCCCTTCACTTCACAGTCCTACTACCACAAAATTTTGAGGCACCCCTGAGGAAGCCAGAAGGGACACCAGGGTGCCACAGCACCCTGGGTGAGAAAGGCTGGTCCAGAGACACAAATGTCTCTGAACTAAACTCAAGGGTTAGTCCAGAAATAGGATTTATTGAGAGAATAAAATCTTCTACCATAGAAACTGCTACATAACATGATTTTCAACTTCCATTTGTTTCCCAACTTACATTTCAAAACCTTTTTCCAACAAGGGATGACAGATTATTCATCATGTTCCAAAACTTATGGACATTATCTCAAAAAGTGGAATGGATCCTTAGATTGGTAATTTAAAAATCTAAAGATTTAAATATGGATTTGATTTGTAATTGTCTTTGTAAAATGATTTTTTCCCTGATTTACTTCTTTTATTCCAGGAAACTACTATCATTGTATTATGTATACCATACATGGTTTAATTTCCTATTTAGCTACAGCAGTCCTTCACATTTGGGGTGCCATCATATTTTTCGCACAGCATCATGCATTTCTGTGGTGCAGGTGAGATGGCCGCCAGTACCATGGAAACACATGATGCTAATACAGGGCAGGTGGCATCCAGGACTGCCCACAGCATTCAGAAGAGGATGAAAGTCTTCCTCCATCCTGACCTGCTCTGCCTCCCACCCTCTACCATGCTGCAGAAACCATCCAAAGATTGGAAGGTATGACTCTGATGTGAGGGGAGGGGGTATTCTGATGTGAAAGGGGGGCTCTGATGTGAAAGGGGCTCCTAATGTGAAAGGGGGGCTTCTGATTGAAAGGGAAGGCCTGCTAATGTGAAGGAGGTACTCTAATGTGAACAGGTTCCTGATGTGAAGGGGGGCACCTGAAGTGGAAGGGGG